CATATACATATATATATATATACATATATATATATATATACATATATATATATATATATACATATATATATATATATATACATATATATATATATATATAATGCAATTTGCAGGAGGGATATGAGGTTTGCAGTTGGTTTTCAAAAAGAAATTTAAGGAGAAGAGGATGTTATTTTCTAAGAAAAAATATATAAATGTAAAGGACTTATTCTTGGATCACAATGCAAATGGGGCAAGTGGATTGTGCCAAATGTAATTTTAGTAAGATGATAAGGATTGAACATTTGGGGTGGGCTTTCTGAAAGGGGATTAAAATATAAGTGTCATTAGGTCATTTGATATATGTTGTTTATTCTATTTCATGTCTTATTTGACCACACCATGATTGTTGTTTAGGGTCCTTTGAATTGTCTTCAAATTAAAATCAAGATGAAGTATAGGAAAGTGAAAGAGAGAGTAGAGTTAGACTTAGTTGGACAAAAGAGAAACCTAAATTTAGACTTAGATGGATACTGTGAAGGAATAAAAGTAGTGACATTAAGTAGTGCTTAATATGTAGTTTATAATTTTTAATTTTTTACAATATAATATAATTTAATTTACTTTTTTAATATAATTTAATTTCAATCACTATCATTTTATCCAAAAAAATTTTAATTTACATTTGTACATATAAGATTATTTGATTTATTTTGTTAACAATTCTATCCCTAATAATAAAATTACATTTGTACAAGCTAGGTCTAAACTAGCTTGACTTTTTCCAGACAATTTAGAGTGCTCTAAACATGTAATATGGATTAAAAATATAGGGTGGGATCTTTAATAGGGACTTTTAAGAGGGAGTGTATGGAAGTAGACAGAGAGACAGAAGAGAGAGAGAGGATAAGAAAAGTGTCATGAGGTCACTCTTCATATGTGCACCTGCCAAAATGGGTGGTTGTGATAAGCTTTTAATATGTGATTTGCTCTGTTCCATATCTACTTGCATCTCAACAAAGTTGCTATTTAGGGTCCTTTGGGTTGTCTTGAAAAAGTCAAAATTAGACCCCAAATATGAAGAAGGCCAGTGATCTCAACAAGGTTGCTTTTTTGGACTTTCTTCTTATGTTTTCTTGGCTATTGACCAAGTTTAAGATACATATAAAAAATGCAACAAGCAAATATTTCATAATTATCTTTGTTTTTGGTAGATCAAATGTTTCATCACTTTGAAACAAACAAAGCAGTATCCAAAAGAAACAAAATTGTTTGCTGAAACCTTAAGCACTTGAAAGTATATGCAGCTTATTAATAATTCAAGTTATATGTCTGTTCCTAGAAAATTTAGGTATTCTTGAACACACACTCCTTGTGTTCTTCTGTGCTGGACATATCAAATTGTTCAGTATTTTCTACAGAATTTAGCACATTAATTAAACATTACCTTATGACATGGATCATACTTTTTGTTCAACAAGTGAATTTTAACTATATTCTGAAAAATAAAATGAATCTTACAGCTCACTGATACAGTTCTAAAATTCTTCCACTGACATAAGTGCACAGAAAAAAGGAAACTGATAGTATAAAGAAGTCATTGTGAAGTTTATTTCACTCTCTTTTCTTCTCTTTTGATCTAATTTTCTAAAACCAATAGGAATTCATACATAGAAACAGCAATTAATACTGAAAAATAAGACAAACTAAAGCAGAAAACCTCAGTTCCTATTGTGTTCAATTGTGTAGATATTATCGATCTAATTATATATTACTTCCTCTAGTTAGATTTTTTAGTATCTCAATACTTAGACTTAAAAAGTTTATATTGAAATCTTTATAATTATGAAAGTAAAATATTTAACCCTATTTACCCTAATACTATTAGCTTTACTGATGGAAAATATAACACGTAACAACACGTGCATATAAAAAAACAATGAGCAAAAAAATAATTTCAATGTTAGTGACAAATGATAACAGTTAGGAATGACTATTGTACTGGTGATCAATGAGATCAATGCGATGATCAATCTTGCCAATATCGATCCAAACATCTACGACGGATCTTATAATTAGATGTATAAAGAATATATTTGAATAACTCAAAAATCTTATAATCGATCTTACATAGTAAATAATATAGCTTTCTTTTTTTTTGTAAACATAGGTAGGGAGTTATTGAACCACAATAAATGTTATATCAACTTTCTAACATATTTTTTATTATTAATTTTCAGATTTCTATTTTGATTAGTCAAGTTTTCTCTTCTTCCCCAACATTTTTTGTGATCAATTATTTAACATTTTTTACTCTCACTAAGTTTAGGAATACGAGTGTCATTATTTCTTAATAATTAGAGATACCAGTGTTATTATTATTATTATTATTATTATTTAAAATCTGTGATAATATAATCATTTGGTTTTTTCTTCTTTTTTTATTTTGATGAAAGAACCACAATTGGCTCCCTATGATCTATTCTTGGCTTTTCTAGAATAGCATACTTCCGGATTCATGTGGGCCGGCCCATTGACTTTTCTTGGGCTTCATTAACCGCAAGTGATGCTGGTTACGGTTGTTTGGTCAAATAAAGTCTCGAGGGTGGAACGAGAAAGCCTAACCTAACCACAGTTAAGCGGACTAAATTAATCGAAACCAAAGGAACCATTTCAATCATAGGAAGTCGAAGAGGCCATCCTTAGAGGGAAAGCTTCCTTCCCTCGATTGAAACAGTGAACATATATACCCACCACATTCCCTCCCTATTGACATGCTTTGGAAAGAATATTACAGACAGATATGGACAAATATATGGTTTTGTGAGTGAGAGAGATCTCATAATTCTTGAAAGTTATCAGACACACACATTTCTCCTTTTGCTCTCTCGTTAGCAAAAGTGCCCCATCAAGCCAATACTCTCTCTCTCTCTCTCTCTCTCTCTCAGACACACAAACAGACATATCTATCTCTTGTTCTTAAGCAAGTGCCCAATCTCTCTCTCTCTCTCTCTCTCTCTGTGTACCACCAAGTGAGCCTTCTTATTTGAGAGTCAAAGCGCATCGGGACGTCTGTCTACCTATCAGACTGGTAGGTGAAGTTTGTACACAGGTGCATGTCTGTAAATTTCGTGCTGGAGATCGAGGCTTTGGTGTGATGAGGGAATGGCTCAGACTGAGCCGTTGACAATGAATTCTCATGCTAAATATTAGATATACATTTATTACTATTAGATGAATATAGTGTTAATAATATACTGTTAAACATTGTAGATCAGATTTGATCATCGAGTTAATGAAATCAGTTACTTCATCTCATAATAAATCATTTCAGAACCAAAAAACTATGGATATGATTTGGTAAAAGGTCTATGTGAGATGTAAGTGTGGAGCAACTTGGAAGGTAGAAATATAAATGTATATTATATCTATATATAATATGCTCTTCATTGCTTGCTTTTGTTGGATTCCTCCTCGCATTGTGTCCAAAACCACATACTACTAACCCTTAATCACCCCACATTACTCCCTCTCTCTCTCTCTCTCTCTCTCTCTCTCT